GAATATGTTTTAAAACGTCGAAAAATCACTTTCATTTAAAATGTCCGCGCGCGCCAAATTTACCGAAATTTCTATAACTCCAGAACTAATTAACGAAATCTTAACCAATTATATATGAAATAGGGGTAAAAAAAAATTGAAGAATATAATAAAATTAATAAAAATTGCTAATAATCAAGTTTTTTTTTTAATTTAAAATTGGTAATTTGTGCAACGTTTATATACTTTTTTATTTATAACTTTTGAAGCATATTCATTATTGTGGACAACCGGCTTTGACTCTTCAGCCTCTTTAAATCATTACTAATATTTATCATTAGAATTTTATTGTTATCCAATTTTTCATCTGTTTTTGTTATTTCAATAGAAACTCCTAAGAGGACCGTGTCAACGGTTCTACAAGAAATGCAGCGGAAGCTGGATTTCTTGTGTGAGCAGCAGCAGCAGCAGCAACAGCAGCAGCCCCAAAAGCTACTGCAACAAGAGCAACAACACCCGTTGCCCCAGCAGCAGCAGCAGCAGCAGCTAAAACAACAACAGCCGCTACCCCAGCAACAGCAGCAGCAGCAACAACAACCGTTGCTAAATCGAAGTACATTATTGAATTAATTATGTATATTAATAAATATACATATTAATGATAATAATTATATATATATATATTTTTTTTAAGGAATAAAAAAAAGGGGAGCGGGCCAATCTCGAGCCCGCTGGTACCGCCAGCGGGGCGGCCGAGGCGGCGGTCGGGGCGGCCGAGGCGGCGGTCGGGGCAGCCAAAGCGGTTGGGGCGGCCGAAGCGGTTGGAGCGGCCGAAGCGGTTGGGGCGGCCAAAGCGGTTGGGGTGACCGAAGCGGTTGGGGTGACCGGGCCCCAAAATATGCAAGTCTTAATATAAATTTTTAATAAAATTAATGTAAAAAATATTTTAAACTGTTCACTTATTTGAAATACTGTATCCATTCCTAAGTTTTCCTTTCAATTAGCGAATTCGGATGATCGCACTAGTACGCACTCAGTATAATTAAGCACAATAACACGAAAAAATGAATTAAATTAAATTTTGGTTTTTAACATGTTTCTATATTTACGTTAAGAGGTTATACCTATATGTACATATATAAAAAAATGTGGTATAATAGGGCTACAGGCGAAGGTCCACGTTAAAAACCTAACGCACTATTAGTGGCACCTCATAGGTAGTGTGGAAGACCACTTGTAACAATGAAAATGGTTAACTTAATGTTATCTTTATGTCTAATAAAGTTTCTCTTTTAATTTATATTAATTTTATCTTATTTAATCGTTTCGTTTTAATGTTGATGAATATTTTACACTGTTTATTGATTAATCAAGTAATCAGAATTGATTAATCCAGTAACCAAAAATTTTTATTCTGATTACTTGATTAATCGAGTAATAAAAAAATTCTTATTCCGATTACTTGATTAATCGAGTAATAAACAAATTATTATTTAGATTACTTGATTAATCGAGTAATCAAAAAATAACTTTTCTCAATTAATAATTAACTAATCGGTTGTCATAATTTTATTATTTACAGTTAGAGGCGAGCAACAAAATCGCAAGTTGCATATTGTGACAGGGCACGGTCCGTAGAATATTTAAATAACAAAAAGACCCGAGCAA